TTGGCATTTATTCAGTCTATGATAGAGAAATAATTGATGTGCATGAATCGTGTTTCATTTGAGAATAATTGTAAAAGTTTCAAATTGGATAAAATTTGAAATCTGCATGCTTTATCAATTTACAGATGTCATGTCAATTTTATCTGGATAATAAATCTACAATTTTATATCGGTAATCCTGTTATAATTAATCATAATACCGTAAATGATTGTTATTTAGCCTGGATATATACCATTATGTCAACGTATTTTGGTTTATCTAACTTGAAAACAATTTTTGAAACACTTAAAGTAAAATTTTTTTATATTTTAATAGAATATTTGATTTAATATCGATAAGACCTTAATAAGACTAAAAAGAGGTTTTAAAAATTAACGTTAACTCCCGTTTTTAAATGATGATTACTAAGATAATTTATTATTACTTAAACTTTAAAATATAAGGGAGGATCGGGTATTCTGGCGCACTTAAGAGTTGCTTATATAAAAATTTTTAGGAATAGCGTATTTATTTATAAAACTTATTGAAATTGATTACTCAACTAATTAACTATCTGCCAATAAAAAAAGAAAAACAACTTTAGATAAAAAATATTGAAATATGAGCTTTCAAATCTACTCAAAAAATACTATGTTTTTTACATTTGGGATATTATGGCGCACTATGTTCACTATGTGTTTCATATTGTAAGTTACGTACTTACGTATTATCGCATCCTTCCTCCGGACATTACCCAAATAAGGAAATATATTATGAAAATTCAAAGAAACGTATACTGTCATAAGTAATGTCGACTTTTACTTATATCTTGTGGTTTATCAATTAGAATCAAAAAAAATTTATATTATTTGATTCGTCTCAGTAAGACGAATCGAAGGATACCAAAATTTTTCGATTCTGATCAGTGTATCGCGAGATATCTTCAAAAAACATGAGTACGTCACAATACCCACCTGCGCCAGAATACCCGACCCTCCCTTATTAATTTTAACTAACATTTTATTTAGATATATATATGAGCTTGGTGCTGAAAAAAAGGGACGAATTTGACAAAAAAAAAATTCTTTACAAAAAATTAATTATCTCGCGAATTATCGGTCAGAACACATGATTTGGGGAATAGGGATTATTTTTGAATATAATTAGAGTTTAAAGTTTAGTTTTTTACCTACAGAATAACGGGGATGAATAAACGCCATTTTCACATATTTGGGGATGAATATATATTAATAACTTTTGAGCATAATAAAAAAAGATTAATATGCAGCATATGATACATATACTCATGATAACGTGATACGTAGAATTTTATAAAATTTTAGTCGGGTTAAATAAACACGAGAATCGGAAAGATGTACTGTACACGTTATCCCTTGTTAGCATGCATTCCCATAACCTAATATTTCAAGAAATGCATTTTATTCAACTTAAAATAATCATATACCTGTATTTTAATTTTCGCAACTCCCACAGGCATGTACATTTTCACAAGAACGTTCTCAATCATTGATCAACAAAGTATCAACAAGGCTAATCGGATAAAAGTAATGAAATTACAGTGAGATTAACCTATTATTGTATTATTAACCTAAACGTTAAATAATTAAGAATGTATAAAGATGAATCATATCATTTTTTTTTATAAAACCTAAAAAATCATATGTAAAAATTATTTGTAAGTGCATTATCTAGATTTGTGTAACTTTAGAGAAAATAAAAAGTTCTCTCGAAAGCATACCCACGAAATGATGTTCGTCGATCACATCGAAAAACAATATAACCTTAACCACGCATTGTAAGATATATAATAGGCGTCACTACGATATTCGTTTGAAAAGAAGATCTTTTGCCATAAAAGAAGAACAATCGAAAATTGACAAGGGAGCACCATGAAAAATGAAAATCAAAAAAAAATTTTCCCTTGTACTAGGGAATTAATCTTTTCGTCAAAAGAAAGGATGCCTAAAAAGAGCTTTTTCAAAATCTTACCACTCAAAAAAACTATATATCACTATATATGGTGAATGATTGAAAAATGCTTTTTTTAGAATGTAATTTCAGTACCATGGACCTGAGATTAATCATTTTAATCATCGTTTAGTTAGAATATTTTTAATGAAGACTCGGGGTACCAAAGTTCGGGAACTCGTATCTTTCAAAATATGATAACATTGATCGTGTGATGTGACATTGAACAGAATCTCAAAGGAGTATTGTTGAAAAACAAGACCAACTACATGATAGGAATTACACAGTATTATTTCGGTTAGGGTGCAGTACTCATTTCAAGAGTACAATTGTTTGAAATGTATCACAGAAATTTTAATTTTAGAATGCAATGTAAGCACCAAAATGAAAGTGATACAGAAGAAAAAGTATAGCGATAGCTAGTAAAGGTAAATTTGACGCATATTGTAACTCATCACTTTTTTTTTTCTTAAACTTTTCGAAACAGATTTGGCTTTTTTGAAACATGACCTGATAGCGATTAAAAGGGAAAAAGACGGTTAAATCATTTGCCAATCTATTAAATTAGAAAATATATCGATTCTACTTATGTATGTAGATCTAATAATTAGGATTAGTGGTCATAGCGATAGCGATAGTAACTTTGTTCGATTTAATTTAATCCAAGTCGAATGACCGAGCAAGAAATCCCTAATAAGTATAAGATTTACGAGAAGCTATTTCGGATATGCTTAGTTGAGAAATATCTGAGATAATTTCGGAGGTCATATACGGTCAGACGATTTACATTATGTAATACGTGTTATGAAATTTCCGACAACGGTTAAAAGGACGTTTTGTAAGTATCGGAGTAATAACTGAGATAAAATTGCATTATCCGGAGTAAGATAAATTTATACTAGTTTATTATTAAAATTAAACATTTTAAGTGTATATATATATATATATATATATATATACAGTATATATATTATATAAAATGTATATAAAAATGATATGCGTCAACAAAACATAAGGAGAATTCCAACAAGGAAAAAAAAATTATTCGTTATATATAGTAGATTAATATTGATATTTTATGTTTACTAATTATAGGATTATTTTTTTTGAAACATGTTTCTACCCTTTGATACGTGAATATTAACGTTAAAATATTAAACGTTAATTTAATATTGAATATTCTAAATATATAAAGCTAATAGTAATATTATATAAGGATATTATATAAATATTATATAATTAATGAAATCATTCTTTTATTCACCAATCCAAAGATGGATTCGTTGATGATTAAAAAATTCACATGAATGAAGTCTCTACAATTGTTAGAAAATAAATATTGGGTATAAAAAAGGTTAAATTTATAGGTCAAGTAATTAATAACAAGTAGAAAAAGAGCACTTAGGGAGAACAGCACTGAATTTGGAAATTTTGACGTGTTTTTATTTTCTCTAGTAAAACCGGGCTAAAAAAAAGATGCGTCGTACGTACGAACATATGTATATATATATATATATATATTGTATATATTTAAATACATTAATATATAGTGTATCAATTTCATTTTCCCGCCTGTGATAGTAAAAATAGCAAATTGGTGGACTGTGCCATCTTGTGTTCATTGTGGGGTAATGACTCAACTGTCATGCGTTTATTACATTACGTTGGGGAGAAATAATATGAACTGATTTTTACATAATCCGAGACAAAACTAAATAGATTCGTTTTAGTTCTAATATTGAATATTAATTACGTATAATCTTTTCATTTTATAAACTAAAAATCAATGCGTATTGTTCATAAATTCTTTTTAGAAAAATTATATCCAAATCGATGTTATGATTGAATTCACTAGTTTACTTATCATCTACTATAAATCTATACATGCATGCGTAATATTTAATTGTTAAGTACGAACGTACGTGTATATATACATAACAGGTAGAATTCGGTACATGCTGTACGTATATCAGATATATGCTATATGTTGTATATATGTTGTATATATACTATATATATGCTATATGTTAAAACGCATAAAGATAGGTAAAGTGATGGGAAAAAAATTTGGAATAGAAATAAATAAATAATAATTAAATAAAAATTTTGAATATGTCCAATCACGAGGACCACTCAGTTGAAACACAGAATCCAATTCGAATCCATAAAGCCGAATCATCTACCAACAAATGTAATACACGATTCAAAAAAATAAACGACTGTAGTTCAACGAAGAAAATCTCACCATTTAAACCAGACCCTTACATATCATTTTTAAAAATAAAATTTAGGTATTTGGGCGTAGCAAATCCGGCATAAGTCGGCGTAGTAATATCGCCAAACAAATATTCTTGTTCCGCAGTTTTGGGAATCTTCTTCATGCAGTAAGATATGCGGATGCCGGAAGTTAAGAGAAACTGAAGGAAAAAATCATAACGATGATGCGTAAAGGAGATGAATGTGTGAAGGAGATAAATCTGTAAAGAAAATACTTTGTAGAAGATTTCATATAAAATATACGTAATACTATATAAAAGGAAAAGATTAAATTTTCTTATTTTCTTTATATAAGGCTACAAAGGTTATTATAAAAATTTAGAGTAACGCTAGTATTGCTATCTATGTGCTGTAATCGTATTGTGAGTCACAATATAGTATTATAAATTGTATATACTGTATATATATATGTATACTGTATATTGTATACTGTATAAAAAAAAAAAAATTTAATTTATAACATAAAATAACAGTAATGTACTGTAAAAAATTTTTTATACAGTTCTGCAGTTCCGGTATTATTAATGATAAATACTTATCTTTATTGGGTAATTCTCTCAAAAATTTATATATAAAGGCGTGGATTCGATCCTGAACGAGTATTTCTTCTTTCCTAAATCAATATAGGAGTAAATAAGAACCAATTTTTATCTTTTTAACGATTATTTAATAACGATATTTTAACAAAAAATATTTTCTTTAAAATCTGTTCGTTTTATCTCTTTTCGGTTTATTCTTATGCCATCTTTTGGAAACGCTCACAAAATGTCTACAACAGTTGAACCTACTGTGTGCCTCTCCTCATGGCCAAAAAAGACTCGAAAGTCAACAGTGAAACCATGTCCTATCTACACCAAAAACATCATATCATCGTCAAATGAAAACTCTCCTAACCGAGAAATTGTATTATCTCCTTTGCCGTCAGGGCATCTTGAAACTGCAAATAAATTTTGGCAGTTTAAAGTTGAAGAAGGTCTAATTACCTACGTACGGTATGGTAGCATTCGGTCTGATGGTAGTCTCAAGGAGCGAGCCATACACGTTCAACATCATTCAAGCTATCTTGATGCAAAAAAATTTGTTGAAAATTTAGTTGATGAAAAAATCAAAGCCGGTTATGTTGGTTGGTCGCGTTGGTAACTGAATCTCTGCTTCTCTATCTTATCATCATATTTCCTGATTCGGATCCTTGGTAACGCGTTTGGCAAAGGCTTTCCACATCTATCGCTTCATAACCAGTCACTTCACTCTTTTCACTTTCAATATTGGAAGTGAATAAATATGATAGCCTCGTTATATCAGACGAGACTACATTAGTTTTTAAAGTCCTTTTACATTTTGTGAAAGGTCAAAAACTATCATGAATCAGTTATATTATACAGAAGGAGGAACACTTATAGCATCACAACAAGACAGTATGGTGTATGGTACCAATGAACAATACTTAGTCCATGCAAATAAAAAAAAATTAAACACCTATGCTAGTTTAAAAAAAAAAAATTAAAAAAATAAAAAATAAAAAAAAATATAAAAAAAAAAAAAAAAAATCAATCGAACAATTTTCTTTTTAATTTTAAAGTAATCTCTAATTATAATATATAACATACGCTTATATATTTCCTCTTGCAAACATGAATTTGTTGGTATATATTACCGCAATATTAATATCATTTATATATAAATATGTAAAGAATTCTTTTTTGATTTTTATGTAGATATATATTTCTTGTTCCTCCATTATTTTATTTTTTTTCTTTTTTCTTTTTCTTTATTTTGTAAATAAATAAGATGTGCGTACGTACGTTCAAATTTTATTTCATTTGCACTATATTATTAAAATTATGTATAATTCATTTTGTATTTTTTTCATGTGAACTTTATTGATTAATAATTCATTCAATAAACTGGTGTTCAAAACTTTCATAAATAATTATAGTAATGCATTGAATATTGGCAATTGAAATATACAGTAGAGCACAACGAATTATCTTAAAAAAGTCGCGTATGCCTATTTCGAGCTTTTTAGACGTTTCAAGTACCGAGATTTTTTTCGATAAACTTAATCTAAGACCGAATCGAATGATTGAATACGTAGAATTGATTTATTGAATAGGATTAAATAGAATTGAATTATATGATTGAATAAAATTTATTTGATTGAATAGGATTAAATAGAATTGAATTATATGATTAAATAAAATTTATTTGATTGAATAAAATTAAATAGAATTGAATCATTCTATTCTAGCATATGATCGTTAATAATTACTTTATCGACCAATCAGGGAAATTTTATTCTCCGCGTTATCTAATTTATCATAACTTATGATGTTATCGTTAAGGACTATTACGCGACCAATTTCGTGATCCGTATATAAAGTTTGTTCGGAAGCAAACTAGTTCAGCCCATGCTGGAAAAAAAGTCTGGAGTACCGAATTTTCTTTCAAAAAAGGTTGATCTTCACTTTATCAGGTTTTTCATAATAACCCAAACAAGCTGACTTTGTATATTTTTTATACACCCAATGACCAACTACTTCTTGGTACTCCGTAGCACGAAGAATAATCAATGCCTACTTTAATGTATCAGTTTCTTCGTGATTATCACAGTACATAAGGATTTTTGTTAATTCATGTACCACCTGACCTTTAAAAACATTCTCGAGAAACATGGAAGACACAGCAATCGTGGTATTTTGCACCATTCAGGATCCCTCTCATATAATATTAATGCAAAATAACGAATCATTACATAATTTTTTATATCATTATTCCGTAATTTTTTAATATCAATCGAGTTTAACTTACTCGATGTACAAAAACTGTTTCGCATTTATTTTCAGCATCAATCATTTGTTAGATACATCCTTTGTTTCGGAGCGGTAACGATAAGATAACGGAAACGGTATTATCCGATTAAAGTATCGACTTACTGTTTAATTTATAATCACAATTATCTCGCTTATATGTTTTCTAGTCGTCGCATATACATAAATGCCTTTAGAACTTTCATCAATACTCACATGAAATTTCAACATTGTTGTAACTTAAATTAGATTTTACACAAAGAAGGGTTTGTTGAACCGTGTACAAATAAATATTTTCTCACGACATTTCATTCAACTTTTGATCTGTCGTCGATGCTACTAATATATATAATACTACTAACAATCGGCGTTTACTCACTAATCATCAAATTTTTCTCTGTTGATAAAAGAGAAATCCAGTCTTGTATTAATCTCCGCTTTAAAGCCCGACTCTACCAAAAAGCGTTATTATGCATGTCTATCATTTCAAATGTATTACCCCTTCTATATATACAAAGAAAGAAAGTTTCAGACCTGGGGTAAATAAAGATCGATGTAATTTTCTCTGTTCATCGCCCAATAGCCCTTTATTTTATAATTTCATATGAGTAATGGCTTCGTGTCTTTAAAGCCTATCTTCCTATCACTGTTTTACCACTTTCCAATGACTTTTGTAGTCTAACCAAAGTTAAAAAATCTCTAACCGAATTTATATCCAAAATCAAAAAATAGCCAAAGATATGGTTTCACGAATGCATCCCATTATTTTCACTATGTTTGGTCAAGGGGCATTTCAATAGATGAATTAGCTTACCAATTTAACAATAACGATAATGGATTTTATTTGACATGTTTATATGTATATATATACTTTATTTATACATAAAAAACATTTAACATTACTCAAAATCAACTTTACTGTATATGCGCCAATCTTAAACTGTAAATTTTACTGTCTGTTATGCTGTATACTGCACTTCATTTTATCATTATTATAAAAATATCATTTCACAGACGCAATTTTTCTTGGCCACTTCTAAACTTTCAACCTTACTTTCTCTTTCCTCATTTCACAAAAGAAGAAAAAAAAAAAACTCTCACATGCTGGATCATTTACCTTTTATAAAGCCGCCTAATCAATTTTGAGTTATGATTTACAATGAAAAAAAAAAGTGTGGCTAAAAAAAGATTGTGAATTTAGTAAAATGGCTTTGAAGACGGCGCACACCGCAGATTATTCGTTACATATTGATCACCATATCAATTAACAAATTTATCTCTTAATTTATAGGCAAAAATATATTAAAGGATTAGCACGGGTTTATACGCGAAAAGGACTTTTGTTTAGTATTTAGTTGTATAGTTCAAATTTGTTGGTTTAAACTTTAAAATATGTCTAAAAAGTATTTATAAAAAAAAGAATTTATACAAGTTTTATTATATCGATATATTTTGCAAACTTTAAATTTTGTTTCTCGCAAAACGTACGATTTTTTGTTTTGCTGATAAGTGTTAATGTATATATATATTTAAATAAAATTTCAATATATAGTAATTTATTCATTACTATCATTACAGTATACGTATAGACAATTATATTTTTCTTTGTGAAAGCTCGTATATTTAATATGTAGTTTTGTTTTTTTCGTTGCATATATTGTACGTATATAATGTTTGTACGTGGTCAACACAAATTTATCTTGACTAAGTTCATTGTACGTATACGTATTAAATATATATGTCTCGAATTTCCTCATATATTTTTCCGAAATTTTCCGATATTTCCAGTATTCATAATTCTCGAGATCCTTAGTCGACTGAGTCGATTTCATCGACTAACGCAAGTACAGTATTTTGCCAAAAAAATATTATAGATGTAATTAAGTTAAATACAATATTATGTATTAGTTATAAAATTCTAGATTTTGCTACGTAATAAACTTTATTTATTAATAAATGGACTGAAATCAAGCAATGATATTTTTAAAAAAATCAATACTTATATCTTAATGAATATTGAAGTAATGCTCCGAACGGGTTGATCCGAATAATCCGAAACTGACCTAGTTATAATAATTTTATTATATGGGTCATGACCCATATAATAAAATTATTATAACTAGGTCA